GGAGAAAGAATGAAGAAGAAATGAAGAAGAAAATCGGGAGAAGAAAAAATAGAAGGGGGGAGGGGGAAGACGGAAGAGAGAAAGAACCAAGAGAGAAAGAAGAAAAAGAAAGGGAGGGGGGTGTGGTCTGCGAGAAAAGAGGGGAGAAAGAAGAAAAAGAAAAAGGAAGAAAGAAAGGAGGAGAAAAGGGGTATTTTAGGAAGAGTGGGTATGAAAATGTAGAATGAAAACTTTGTTTCCGGACGAAAAAAAGCGTAGAGTGAGAATTTTATTTCCAGACGAAGAGAGTACTAAACAAGAGATGGTAAGACTTTATTTCATCAAATAACAAACAAAAATAAGTAAAGAAAGTAAATAATGTTTGATTGTGTGAATAGTAACTAACAAAATGTTTTAGAACAGAGGGAGTAATGTAGTATATATTTATATTTTTCTCAATCTAATTGAGCGATGACTATTTGATTGGCTATGAGGACATTGTCCTTCTATCATGTTTAATCTATCCTTCGATAAATTCCCAATCCAGTCTAGACCTTGAGCACATCTCTCTACCCATGTCAATTGTATCTTGCAAGTTTAGTTGATTTTTGGAAAAGTTATCATAAATAATAATTCTAATTTTCTATGTTTTTTTCAAAAATAATCTCATTTTTATTGTCACGGAAAATATTACACCTTTTTCTCATGCGTGTTGGTTTTAGGTTGTCGTTAAGAAGCTAATGGAGTACTTAACAGAATTTTTCAAAAATGTAAGTTTTTTGCAATTAAATGAAAAGAAGGATTATTTTAGGTAAATTTACCTTTTTCTTTTTTAATTTTAAATTTATGATTTCAAAAGTACAACAGCACACTCTTGTGACAAATTTATTTCAATTTTTTAAAATATAACGATTTATAAATTTTGTATTCTGTTCAGAGAAAAATCTAATGTTAGATTATCGAAAAATAATTTAGTTGTAATACAAAAAAGTATTAGTGAGTTCATTTTGTAAAAAGAATTATACAGTATTGAATAATCAAAAAAATTACAAGTTTTGTATTGTCATTTTAGAAAAATAATACGAGTAATAAAAGATTATCGATAAATATTTCAAAGTGTTGTTAATAAAAAAATTCCATTACAACAAAAAAGTAGTGAGTTATAAAAATAAAGTTTCATGTCAGAGAGATTTATTGTGTTATTATCACAACAGTTGTAATATTCTTTTTGCGAAAAACATTTATACCTAATTATTGAAAAATAACTATTACCACATTTACCAGAGTATCGATTAATGAAAAAATAATTAGTTTTACTCTAAAAACACTTAAACTTGGTATTATTTATATAAAAAAATTTAAAAAAATACATTTAAATTTAAAGTTAATATTTTTTAAAAAAAATGAAAAAAAGAATTTACCTAAAATAATCTTATCTTTCATTTATTCACGAAAAATAAGAATATTCTAAAGATTCTGTTAAGTAAGCGTTAGCTAACGATGACCCAAAATTTACAAACAGTGACATTCTTTTCTGTGATAATAAAAAAATGAGATTATTTGTCTTTTTTTCTTTTTCCTTTTTTTTGTTGACACTTTGATTTTCGTTTGAAATGATTCAAAGCAACCTTTTCTTGCCAAGTGCTCACCAAAGTAACAATGGCTGCTCCGCTAAAAAATCTCCAAACCTCGAACACGCTCTATGTCTGCTACCCATCTCCATTTCCTCACAGGCTCTCTCGACCTCAATTTCGATCTCCCAGGAACCCATTCACACCCATCTCGCTTTCTCGCTCTCTCCCAATCGAATCCCATTCCCAAATCACAGGCCCGATACGACGAGACGAGGGCGGGCCGATCCTCGGCGATTGCGTCGTCTTCGAAGAGGGCGCCTTCGACGATCCGTTTCTCCACCGTTCGACTAGCAGACGGAAGGAGTCGGCGGAATTGGCGCCGGAGAATCTAGTTCCGGAGGACTGGGCGGAAGTTCAGAGGGAGATTAATATCGCGAAGAAGAAGAAGAGGAAGGAAAAGCAGAGGATCGAGCTGAGACCTATTGGGGGAGATGACAGGTCTAGGTCAAGGGCAGATCTGGAGGAATACTCCAGAGCTGTGAAGGAGAGTTTCAAGAGGCTAAATCCTGTTGTACTTGATGATCCAGTGTTTCCTGAAGCAGGAGATGAAGGAAACTGCGAGGAACGTGAGGATGGCTCAGGTTGGAGTGTTTCCCATGGCAGAGCGGAGCCGAGGAACCCTAGACGAGCTATGGATGTTGGTGATTTGGATGATATAAGAGAGTTCTTCAACAATGGGAGTTATGATTCTAGAGGCAGCAGAAAAGCTGGAGGTTCTTTTTCTCAGTCCCTCTGTGTTTTCTGCGACTAAACATTTGTAAATACTACTATGTATGTTAACTGTGCAAGATTATATTGACATCCATCTTGTGTCTGGTAATATGATACCCCAAATTGGGTCCTATAAGGTAGAATTTCAGGCACTCAAAACCAGTGTCAAAAGAACAATAGTGATGTTAATATTTGCTCTATCATACCCCTTCCAATGCTTGTTTATTGCTTTTAAGGAGTAATCTTAAAGTTATTTTGTTTGCCTGAATGTGCATATCAGGGTTTCATGCTTATTGGTTGCTGAAAGGCTTCCTTGTTGATTATATTATTGCTTCTTTGATTATTTATTTAAATCCAAATAAAAAATATTGTTATCGATATTTGCCCGGTTTCATTTTGGCACACAAACAAAGGCAAGGGGCCAAATGACCTAATTACCCCTGGCACAGCATGTCTCCAACCTAATCCCCTGCCCTTCCCCCTCCGTTGCCCGAACCTTATCCCCAAGCTGCCCAACTTTGTCTTGTCATTGCAATATTGCATAAACCACCCCAACACAGTAGGAATGAAAAATACAATTGGAATCTGCAATGACGCATCCTTAATTATTACTCCCTGCCAATCAAATGAAGAATTCAGTTGAAATTCAAAGTCAAAATGGGCTTAGTGAAGTAGTACACTACTTTAATTAGGGCTGATAAAGAGATATTGGTTTAAGAACAGTCAGGGCTCCATCGTTCTCAAGATCTTCAAGAGTCTGAGACATGTAGATCTTTGGCATTATGAATTATGATGTTCGTTGGAGTCAGGGACGGAGAAGATTATGGAAGCTAAGGGCAACATAGGTATAGGGTTAGTGTGAAAAGTGAGTGAGAGAGGTGTGATAGATATTGAATGAAAGAGATGGGGGTGACGGTGTGGATGGATAACAAGTGCAGTAAAAAAAGTGGCTACTGTGGGACGGCCCAGAAAGGATTACTGCATGAATATTCCGGGATGGAGTATTTTTTATTTAGCAAACTCTTTGCTCGAATCAAATAACAGAACTTAATGCTATATTATTTCTCTATTTGGTTTGAATGTTTGCAGGCATGATGAATTCCATGGTTTCCATCCGGCATCAATGCGATGGAAGTGTAATGCTGAATTAGGGAAGAAGTGTGATAGAAAATATGGAGTAGTAAATTGTAAATTTATCCATTGATGAATTAAAGACGTCTCTGCACAACTTAAACATATGAAGTACCCCCTTCGTCCCATAAAATTTTTTTGTTTGACACTTTGAAGTTAAGGAAGTGTTGAAAAGAGGAAAAAGTATGATTGAAATTCGTTAAGAGAATATTTTTGATCCACATATTCTTTTCTTTAAAAGAAAAAGTGATTTATTTGGGACAACAAAATAGGAAATAAAATATTTTGTTTTGCAGGATGGAGGGAGTATCATTGCTTCTTGTAGTGGCTACATCTTGTACTATATTACCGACATTCAAAAATATAGAAGAGAAAAGTTTAGCTTTGGATGGGATAGCAATCACCCTGGAAGGAAAGAAAAACAAGGGAACTACTCCGTAGTTACTAGTTAGAAGCCTAGCAGGAAATGTGGATATTGATTAGGGAGAATCAAGCGTGACTGGTTACCAACTTGAATGATATGTGCTATTTAACTTTTTTTAAAAACTTAGATTCATTAGACTATGAATAGACCCTCACTTAGGAAAGAAACACAAGGAACACATGGAGATCTAGATTAGAGTAGTTGGGTAGACCTTTAGGTTTTAGTTTGTAGTTTTTTCTGGTGTGTTTTTACTTTAGTCTGCTGTTTGTGCATGTGTGTTAGGCTTTGGATCTAGTTGCTAGTGTTGGTATGTGTGCTTTTTGTCTCTGTGCTCTTACTTTGTTAGTGTTATTCTGTTTATTCAAACCCTACTTTTTAAGGATTTTATCGGATTTGTTTTTGTTGTTAGAGAAAAGATGATTAGCAGCTTTGTTGGGCCAAGAACATCTTGTTGGAGAATGCCTTTGGAGCTCTTGGAAGGTTTCTAAGACACTCCTTTCACTTTTTTATTTCTTTCCATAAGAAGTGCGTTTAATTTTGTGCAGATTCTTTACTCTCGATCAGAATGTCATGATAGTTAGCTCCATTTTCTGCACTTCATGCATTGGCCAATAAGGGGGAGAAATACTGAGGCCCCAATGAAGAAACATGAGAGACTTGGAATAGAGTGTGAGAAGGGGTAGACCTAAGAAGAGTTAGAATGAGGTGATTAGACATGACTTACAACATCAGGATCTAACCTAGGATATGACCTTAGATAGGAACACCTGAAGATTTAGGATAAGAGTAGTTTAGTAGGTTTAATTTGTACTTTGTTTGTGCTACAGTGGGCCTGTGTTTCTGGGGTAAGATATCTGCGTACATATCCTCCCTACAACCTACCTTTTGTAACACAATTTCTGGTCAAAATGAAATTCTCTTATGAATTCAATACCACAAAATGTTGGGATTGTAACTCAGCGCTGTTTGGATCTGATTCTTTGGTGGGATTGATAGAAATATGAATTTACCAATTTAGCTGCCATTTTGGTGAAGCAGTGGCCACTCTTGTTTCTTAGCCATCAGCTCTTCTATGTTTTCACATTTCACACTGACATTTTCATCACCGTCATCTTTTCTTCCTTTAATCTTTTACAGAATTTTTATGAGCACTTTCAAAAGAAGAATCATAATATTGTTGGGTAAACACTTATTATATTTTGGTCAATCTTTTCCCATGTTTTCGATGTGGGTTTCAATGTGGGATTCCCAATAGAGAAGTATTAATGCTGATTTAGTATAATGACCTTTGACTTTTGATTTTATGAAGTTGCATTGCAGGATGGGTTGACTGCAACTCACAAAGCATTTCTTGGGAAAAAGCATGCAATTTTCAACCTTCTTCTGCCAGAGTTTGCAAATTAATTTGTGTCATAAAAGTAAGCTGGCCTTAGCTGGGTAGTGAGGATACTCCATCCTTGCCTGCTTCTTTTCTTATTTTTAGTATCAATAATGCTACTACAACACCAAGTTTGACACCGAGATTGATATATATCACCGTATTATTTTTCACACAGACAGTAACTGCTGTGAGAAATTGATACTAGTGGTTTCAATCTTAGCGTCATCCTTGATGTTATTAAAGCATGGTCTTTTAATTATTGCACGAACTCATTTTGAGATATATTGTTTATCAACATAAAAAAGAATAAGACTATTAGCCTTAGTTTGCTAAGCCCAAGTGTTTTGATAACAAGTTCGCCACCAAGTCCTATTGCCAAACTTGTTAGCCAAAACTAGTGTGGTGTTTTTACTTGTTCGTGAGACAGGGAAAATAGTAGATTCAAAATCCTGAAGCCTTACTGGAATAAGAATTTTGTGAATCGGCATAACGGGATTAACATATGATGTGCTCTGTACTTTATTTTACGCTTTTATTTTTACGTTTTATTTGGTTCCGCATTTAATATGGTACTCTGCAAAAAAAAACCTAATGAGACCGAATATTTTTCTGCAAGTTGAATTGCCAATTTAACAAACTAATAAGAGATACGTCGGACTATTTATTGTCCAGTTTTTAGGTTATTTCAGAAACATAAATAACTTATGTGAATGATCAGAGAAAGAATGCAAATTGGATTGTCTTTTATTTATTCCACTTTTATTTGGTCATTTTATAACGTTATGTTTTTGTAAAGCACAACGCTTTAAAAAGACATGAAATTGCAGTTACTTTATGTTTGAAACTTTTTTCTTATGGCGTGTTTGGTTGGGCGTAAAATATTTCCAGGAACATTTTGATTCCATTTTCATGTGTTTGGTGACAATGTGACATTAGTGAAAAGAAAATATTACAGTATATGATTGAAGAATAATTTTCCTTGGAATTATTTTCTTTTGGAAAATATTCTTCAATGAATTTTTTTACCCCAAACCAAACACAACCTTAGTCTAAGTATTTGTCTCATGTTTGATTTAACTAAATTACAAGCGTCTGTCGTTCCTCCGTGATGGCTTCTCCTTCCTCATTAATTTTTTTCATTTTTTTAAAAATATTTCAACGAATCAAAATTTAATATTTATTCAAACTTCATCACTTTTCTTCATGTATACTATAACACGTGTTGTTATCGTTCTACATCATACTCATCTATACACAATTGAGCTCTATCATGCCCCTCCATAATACATAGTCTAAGAAGAGTCATTTGCACCCTAGTTGCACATAAAATATTCCCTTAATTCTTTGCATCATTATTTGGCAAAATATTGATAAAACATAAGAAAATTTTCCTCATAGTTAAGATGTTTGATAGGCAAGCATATCGTTAAATTGCATCGTTGGTTTTTCAATTCATTTGGTTATGTACGGTTAGTCTTTCAATTTCAGAAATTTCATGAACAATCTTTCAAGTCACATGAAGCGTTGCATTCTTGGTCCTTTCGTTACTTTTAAACGGTGTGTAAATTATATGAACCGACTCCCCTCAATATTTGTTCTTTCCACATAAATGCATGTGAAGGTACATTCTTCTCTTCTTCACACAATTGACTCACATATTTCATCTAAGCTTCTTCTCAAATGACAAATACAAGCACTTGTGATTTGTGGTGCACAGACAATAAGTGTTTGTGTTTACCTTTGATGTGTAAAATGGGATTCCCTGACATCATAATTATGATGACCAAAATGCTATTCACCAAACATGGTGTATGTCGAGGTAAGAATGCATATATGAAAAAGAAAAAAAAGATGAACCCCATTCTCGAGGGTCTTCTCAGACTCGGTTGGATGTTTACTAAAATTGGACTTTAATCGTAGGTAGGTGGCAGGAAGTAGAGCCCGCACTTGGTACTGTCATAATCGAACTCGGGTCTATTCCCTTGACTCTTTACATTTGTCAACTGCGCAACGCTCACCGATGTATATATGAAGAAGAAGAAGAGATGGAAGGGTGGGTAGGTTGGGGATGGATCTAAGAATAGGTATAGGCTGTTTGGTTAGTTCTGCATTAAATTGCAATAATCATCACGAGCAAAATGCCATTCCTTTTCTTCATTTTTTTTCTCTTTTTCAAAAAAGAAAAAAAAAAGAAACAGAGATAGCTGTTTGATTCCCTGCTGCTGTGGTGGCATAGGTGGTTAGTTTTGCAATAAATATCATGGGGGCTATCACTTTAATGATATGCTCTTTCTATGTTTTTTTTTTCAAAAAAAAAACTTCATTTTCTATGGAATCCATAAACAAATACCTATAAGAAATTGAAGAAATAAATTGAATTATGTGTCAATCTAACAAATAAACGGTCAAGTGTTAATTTTGTATTTGTAGAGGTCTCATGTTTTACGAGTCGAATTTTGATTTACCTATGATGTCTGGTACAAGATAGTTGAGCTACGTTCACCAGCATATGACGTTTTTATAAATTTAATTTACTACTTCCATCTCGATATTAAAGACACAGTTCAGTTTATGATGTTTGGCGAAATTTATTTTCAATTTAATGAATTGAAAGAGTTGCATACATAAAATGTTTCACAAAACAAAGTTATTTGGCCGGTCAAATTATTTATAACAAAATATACTTGTATAAGAAAATATATTTCATATACTCCGTAATTTTACTTTTTGAATAGTACATATAGTCTTGTTTGGAAATAACGTTAGCATTTTAGATAAAAATTTAATAATGTAAATTAATTATAAAACACTAACGTTAAAAGCTACTATTGGATAACCATTTGAAATGATAACGTCAATCTCTAATGTTGATGCTAATTGTGGTTTATATCTTTTATTCGAAGGGAAGAAATATGTGAATGTGAAGGAGAGATAAATAAAAGGGGAGAGATTCCTTTCTTTAATTTATTTAAGCTCATTTAACCAAACAAATAAAAGCTCATTTATTGTTTGGCCTTGCTGCGGTGTGGTATTGGCCAGTAGGACATCATGGTATGTATGGATACAGACTCTTGGAACAAAAAAATAAATTTTATTGTTGTGATTGCACTTAAAAAAAAATACTCGTAATAAATTTTAAGTTGCGTACACACCCCAATGAAGGAGATGAAGTCACACACAATTTAGAACAATGTTGGTAAAATTAACTAGATAAACATTCAATGTGCAGGATCAATTAGAACGTTGTTTTAAAATTTCTTATCTACCCTGTTATAAGCAACAATGGTTACAAAATCGTTCGGTTGTTCTACGACACAATTTGCTAGAAGACTTTAATGCGAGTTATATCAAGACAAAGGGGATAAAAACATAGAAAAATAATTAATACTAAATAAATACATTATTTCTTTATTTTTCTAGATAATCAATGAAATAATAATTAAATTTATATCATTCTTGTATATTCTACTGGAGTATTAATTAATGTTTCATCATCATAGAATAAACACTAAAGAATAAATAAATTATTTCTTCATTATTCTAGACAATCAATGAAATTATAATTTAGTAGAATGAATATAAATATAATGTATATATTTTCATATGAAAAAATAGAATATAATGAATATAAATATAATGCATATATTTTCATATGAAAAAAAATATTTTTTGAAACGTCGGAAGAAAATTTAGTAAATTACCCGGAGTAATTTTTTTTAGATTGAACACAAAAGTGTACAACAACATCAGACTCCACATGGAATGGGGGCATGCACTGTAATTGTAATTAAGGGATCCGAGAATTCACACTTAATTAATTACATTTAATTTTAATTAATTTTGTTGTCTTAGCTACACATGCACACCTCCCTACCTATATTATAGTACGTTACTATAGTTATTGTTTATTAAGTCCATGGAGAAATTAAATACGGTTAATTATAAGTTTTGCATATTATTTTTTTTCTGATCTCCAAAATTTTCCAAGTATATACAGAATAGCTAAATTATTATTTTCTATTAAAAAATTATTTTCATTTTTTGGACTTCAATTCATTCATTGGCTAGCACCCAAAATATTAAAATTCACACTCAAATCAAATGACATTATTCTCTCCCACACCAGTCAAGAATGTTTTATCATCTTCTCCAATATTTATTTTGTATGTTTCAATTAAATCAATTGCTTCAATTAAATCTCAGTTGTATTTTTTTCCGCACGGTTACATCTCCCCTCTGTAAAGTACGAGAATAAATCAGCCTTTCGACGACAAATAATTTTTGCAAAAAAAGGTTTAATTTGTTTGGTTTCTGTCATCCTTAAGTTCGGATCCAGTTAATTAGATTAATGTCCTTTAAAGTTTGAAACGTACTCCCTCCGTCCCAAAAAGATCTTCCTGTTTCATTTTTTGCGCATCCTATAAAACACTTCTACACACATCTAAAATGTCTAAAATTTACCACATTTTTCATTTATTGTGAGTAGAAGTTGTTTTGAAAGTTTTTTTTGCATTTGAGACGGAATAGAAGTGTTTTATGAGATGCGCAAAAAATGAAACAGGAAAGTCTTTTTGGGACGGGAGAGTACTTAATTGATTTCGGATAATTTCACTCGGATTCATACATTTCTTAGTGTATCATCTCCCTCTTCCACATCAACGCCGACCACATCAGATTCTACTAATAATTCCATACTTTTTTTTTAATTATAAGTTGGAGTCTACGTACTCCAATTCACCAATTTACTGTAACTATTTTTACAATTTATTGTAACCATTATAAATTAATTTTTATATATACAAACCAATATTTAAAAAAAAATTGAAACTAGAGTAATATTACCATTTGATTTTTGAAAGAAAAATACAACAAAGAAACCAAAATAAAAATATACGAAGTAACCATTAAATTTTTTTAGAGTGTAAAAGTTGGACTTTTAAGTGGTTGATTGAGATTTAAAGTAGAACAAAAAAAGAAATGTTGTGTTTGTATATATATGTGGTACTTTTTTTATTAGATATATAGGTAATTATTAATTAATATTAATTTTAAAAATATTTTATCTATGTATATACAGATAAAATGAGTGTGAAATTAAAAAAAATACTCCCTCCGTCCCAAAAAGATCGTTACATTTCATTTCTTTGCGCATCACAAAAAGCAATGCTACTCACATCTAAAAATTCTAAAATTTACCATATTTACTCTTTATTATAAGATGAAATTATTTTGAAAGTTTTTTTGGCATTTGAGACGATATAAAAGTATTTTAAGGGATGCGCAAAAAATGAAACGTAACGATCTTTTTGGGACGGAGGGAGTATA